ACGTCCATTTTGCATACATTTTCTTGGATGTATGATGCAGTGATATTTCATCAAACATGAGTTGCCAGTGGCAACTGCATCTCCTTCTATCAATTTCATAAGTTCCTCTATTTTACTGACCATCGCTGGAGCACTATCATTAGCTATATCAGATATTAGGACACATTGCATCTGCCACACTTTCCAAACATTGCTTTCTAAACTCACCATAGTATATGGTTTCGATTTTTTTCGCAGTCAGTTTTGCTACCACTTTACTGGCTTTAATAACAGATTCTGTCTGAGTTTAAATTTTTTAAAAACAATTTTGCTAAGATGACAGACTTGTCAGTTCTACTTTTTCGTCTTTACAGAGCATTCCTCAATATGCAGCAAATTTGGCAGCATATTTTTGCAGACAATGTCTTTTCAAATTGTAATCTTTGAAAACTGACAGTGCTTCCCTACAAATTAAGCATAGTGCCATATTATTTGCCTTGACCAAAAAAAGAAAAAAAAGTACTCATCTGGCCATTTTTTGTTAAACACTCTTCCTTCATCCAGAATTTTTCTGGGTTCTGACTTCTTCTGAGATGCCACGAGGTAGGTTTAAATATTAGCACTGGCAATCATTGCATTGTTCTCAACAAGCAGCACAAGCACATGCCACGTGTAGTTTGCATGGGGTTCACTGGGACTGTGTGCAAACAGCATCCGAGGAAAAGACAGCACTACTCTGTGCCCACCCCTTCTAGTTCCAGTCCACTCACTGATGGTTTGACTGCTGCAGAGCAATGGGTGCACACCTGGGGCAGCGCTGCTGGGATGGTACAGGGCAGGGGGTGGGCTGCATTCTGAGGTGTTCTGGGCTGCATGCGGCCTATGGGCCAGACATGCCCGATCAAGAGTTTGCAACAGAGTTTAGATAGCTTAAGTCCCAGCACTGTGCATACCAGGCCACATGGCTTCTATGAAAGTTTCCACTGAAACACAGAACAGATTAAGTAAAAAATTGTTTTTTTCTTATGGCTTAGTCCCAAGCAAAGTTGTGCCTTCAGTTATCCACCAATAGCACTGTTTTGAATAAAAACTGTGTTAAAAATAGCACCAAGTTCAAAATTCTAGGCGGATGAAACAGAGCTGGAAATATGCTGATCACAAAAGCAATCTATAGCCCTCTGGGGAAGTACTGAAAGCGTGGCTAGTTCACATATGCATGATATTCCCATTCTCTTACCTGGTGGAATTATCATTACATAATCTGGGGAGAGGTGGAGATGTAATTTACAAAACTGCAATCCTGATCTTTTAGAAAAGCAAAGCCATTAATCTGCAGTGTTAACTTGTTTCCTGATCATCTTCTCATGTGAAGACGATTTGCTTTGACTCACTTAAAATTACTATTTGTGCGCCTCTTGCATTTGTACTTTTGAGGTGATACCACAGCATGCTGATTGTTTTTACTCACATGCCTTTTACGTCCCTGCCCTCATTTCAAGCTTCATGCATATGACTCATCAGCAAAGTGATCACATGCTTCCTCACATTGATTAGACTGACAGGCTCATCTTATCTACACATCCTCCTGCGTGGCCTGCTGGGAAGCATAGTACTAAGAATGAAGACTGTGCATGAAGTCTATGTGTATTCATGATCTAAGTCTGCTAAATTTGAAACTCTGCACATTATCATCTCACAAGCACTTTATATTTGTGAAATATGGTATATTGTAAGAACCTGCCCTCAGTGGAACACCAGGTGACTTACATTGCTTCTAAATGTAACACTGACTGGTCTTCTGCAACCTGGGACACTGAGCAACTGGCTCTGTCAAGTATTACTTATGAACACACTGGAGAAGTAGAAACCTTTGCATTCTGGCTGTATTGATCAGGATCGCATCAGAAATATATGCTTTGCATCAATCTTTGCCTCCTAGAAAGACCTTGAATCTTGCACTTAAATAATGAGAGATTTCTCTTCACATAGTCTTGTAAGTACTTCCACCGTTTTAGAGGTGGGAAATGAAGGACGGGGAGACTGAGTTACCATTGCACAGGGATCTAAGAAGAGATCCAATTTCTTATTGTCCTGGCTATGCAGCCAGCACACTCGCTCCTCATATCATGATGGATACCAGAGACAAAAACCAAGACTGATGATCAGCCACATTCCCTGGAATAATTAAGATGCTGTACTAAGATCATGTGCACAAATCCCACGTGACTCTCACTCACCTCTACACTGAACATTAATAAGTATCTAGCAGAAAGCAATGTTTTACAAGCATATAAACATCTATCTGCTGCACAGCTTTTTGCTGCATTAATACAGTATTATGTACCACCATGAATATTTCACTAAATCTGCCTCTTCTAATACCTGTGATAGCGTTTATAGGTTTGATGTCAAAATCTAAACTACAGTTGGCACCAACAGTCTAGGTTCCTCTGAACTTTTCCATTCTGAATATCCTCATATCTCCAAATTTGATGCAGGTTGCTGTTATGAGGGTTTAATAAAAAGGGAGGACAGAATACTGCCAAATTTATCTTTTCATCAGATAGACTTTGAAAACCAAGACTATTTTTGTTTGCAACAGTACACATACACCCCTCAGGATAAGGATGTTCTCCACAACAGCTTCATGTGATAAAAAGACAAATTTGATAGCAAAGACAATGACATATCTCCTGACTCTTCAGGAGTCTAAAGGAGTACTTTCTGTAGGTACAGACCAGAAAAACACAGATGTATCTAAACAGCACGGGAACAGCCAGTCTGTTTCCAGGATTAAATACTTCTTTCTGATCTTAAAATGAAATCTTTTCCCTGACAAAATAATAATGAAACATTTCATTATTGTTCTAAAATCTCCTTTTCCAAGTCCAAGTTATACAGAAGGTGATCCACTGGCATGCTTTCATGCATTTTGTAGCTCAGTAGTCTGAATTTTCAGCAAGTCTCATGCATCTCATATGTCAGATCTGGGTAAGCACTGGGCAGATGAGCCATACACTTGCAGTAATTCCAGCATGTATAAATCCACATATAAATCCACATGCATACATCAGCTGTGCAAGTAGCACACTGTAGGTCCAAAATGCCTATATTAGGAATCACTGTACCTGATCTCGCCAGGTGCAATTAATACAGAGCACCTGGTTTCTCAGCCACTTTGAGCTTCAATTGCCCTCTCATTTGGAAACATCCACTGCTAAAAAGATGCTCCAGTTACTGCTGTATCCATTTTGGCAATACCTGCCTGGCTTTTTGCTCTGCCAAAAGAGATTCTACTCTGAGATACGTTGGAACAAATACTGTTGAGGAGAAAACAGAAAAAGTTTTTCCATTGTCAATGAAGCATTTTTGATGTGATATATAGAGCAAAACATGCACACTTGAGGCTCAAGTTAGGAGTTCCAGAAACAAAATTAAATAAATAGCAACAGAGACTAAAATCCAAGTCATTTCCTATTTTGTTGGGCTTTGAAATCATTAGCAATATGACAATTCCTTTAATCATCAGAAAACATTATTAAGTAAATTCTGCCTTGAAGATTAGCTAGAAAATCCTACAACTCAGCTTTATGTAGAAAATAGCAGTTTTGAACTTTTTTTTTTTAAGCAAGGAACGAAAAGAAGAAATTTGACCACTCGAAACATCATACGGAAGAGAAAAAGAAGCACCAGTTCCAGAATTCCAACCACTTTTGAGTTCACAATATTATCTTGAGTACAGAATACCAACCAGCCCCTTGGATAATAGCTCCAATCCTCTTTTAATGAATATGTATTTAAAAAACAAAAAAACAAAAAAACTGGAGAAGTTATTTTTGACATCTCCAGAATTCTACTTTTGGTACATTGCAGAAATAGACTGATAACCATACTTGGCACGGCAGAGACTTGAACATATAGCATCAGTTTCTACAGCAGATCTTGCAAGCCAATTACTGACTTTGGGGTGAATCGCCCTCTCTAAATACATATATTTTTCAAATGGGTGCAAGGCTGCAAATGATTTTCATTGAATGAATAAGTATTTTTTATAGTAGTTTTTGATGAACTTCTCATAGCTGCTGTAACTACAGCTTTAACATCTGCTGTTTATTACTCCTAAGCACAAATGAACGACAGTCAAAGCACTGACTTACGCACCATGGGGGAAGAAAGTGTAAAGGCTGGGATCAGTTCCTGCTCTCAGCCATCAGCACAGTTGTTTTCCTTGCAGGAGCTTCTACATTAGGGACAGCTTGACAAGGCTGGCTGCTTGTCACAACTCAGTATGCTAAACTGAAGTTAGCTATTGCTTGCTCTCTTAGTACTTGAAAATATTTTCAATTTCACTGTATCTCTGTGTACTACTTTGTTGTTTTTACTTTTTTTTTTTTTTAAAGCTGTATGCTTATTATAGACACTTCACATCTAAAGCTTTCGAAGAACATCACAGTTTAACATCACTAGCTAAACATACACCATTAAACAAAATAAAGCAGCCATTAGAAGCTAATAAAAAGCAAATAAAACCTAAACTCCTTACTGACCCCTCTGGAATTAAGAGAGGTCCAGCAGAGGCGCTTGCTGAACTGCTGGCTTTTATCCATAGCAGACCAAAAAGCTACAGCGCTCGCGATTTCTTTAGTATAAAAACAGCCGAGCAGAGACAGAACCTCGTCTGCTCTCCGGTTAGGCATCAGGAGGCCTTACACACGCTGCGCAGCAGCACCCGAGCCGCCAGCACACAGGCCTCGCTAGGGCCGCCACTGCAGCTATGGGCAGACCTCACCCGCCTTGTGAGGGGCAGTGAGCGAGTCCCCGCTCCGCGCCCTACCGCCGGCCGCCGTCGTGCCCCTGCCGGGCGGACACACGGCAGCGCCCCCGAGGCCCTCACCGGCGCTGCTGCGGCTGCCGCGCATGACGTCACCGCACGCGGAGCCCATGCGCCGCTGGGCGTGGAGGCGTGCCGGGGCCGCGGCTGCCGCGCCCGCTGCCGCCAGCCCGCCCTCCCGCCGGAGCGCCCGGGGCCGCCGCATCTCGCCCCCCCGCGGCCGGCAGGGAAGAGGATGGCGGAAAGCGAGGCCGAGACCCCCAGCACTCCCGGGGAGTTCGAGAGCAAGTACTTCGAGTACAATGGGGTGCGGCTGCCGCCCTTCTGCAGGGGGAAGATGGAGGAGATCGCTAATTTCCCGGTGAGGGACAGCGACGTCTGGATCGTCACCTACCCCAAGTCAGGTAGGCGGGCGGGCGGCGAGCGGGAGCCTCTGGGTGGGGGCCGTCCGCTGAGGGCCGGGAAGGAACGCCGCGCCCAGGTCGGCCCCCGGGTGGGGCTGGGGCCGAGGGAAGGGCGTCCGCCGCCGGGTAAAGGCGCCGCTGGAGGCGAGGAGGGCCGCCCGGCGGGGACAGATACGGCACACGTTATTCTTGACGCGAGCAGCTGTACCTGTCGTCTGTTCCGCAGCCCCGCCGTGCCGCCTCCCGGAGGCGGCTGCGAACATGTGCCCCGAGCGCATTGTGGCTGCGCCGGCTGGCCGCACATAGCCCCGCCGGATCCACCAGTGTGCGTTCCTCCTCTGAGCGCTTCCTGCTTCGCGTGTCGTGTTTCTTCTCTTCTTATCCTCCCCATTAACGCGCAGAGATGCTGAAGTAGAGTTAACGTGGGTACGGTGCTGTCTGCAGAGAGGCAGCAATATGGTAGCTCTGTAAGCACCTGGTAACGCCAACAGCAGCGAGCAGGTTCTTTACAAAGCCCGCTCCTGAGTGACTGCCCGGCAGTAGGACGATCTCTTCCTAAAAAATTCAAAGTCTGCTGGAGGTGACTGATTTTAGCTCTGTAAATACCCTTGTATCGCAGGTTACTGACCAGGTGTGATCATTTTGCTGTTCATTGTAAAAATGGTTCTTTTCTGTTTCCCCTTGGTGTGCCGCTTCAGAAAGATGCACATTTGCAAAAATGCAGCATCTACTACATTACCATTTCTCAAGGAGTTTGAAATGTTTGTCTTCACTTTTATTTTTTGTAATTCATTACTAACGATGCTCTTAAAAACTGTCTGAAGCTTGATGGATGCATCAAGCATCCATCAGTACAGCACAGGGACAAGTTATGGGCTGGTGGGTGGTCCCCGAAATGCTGTGATTAGGAAGAGAGAGCCACAGACATACTGGTCTTTTAAAGACATATTTAGCATGCAGAGTGCAGAAAGAACACAGTTCTTTTACTTTTAAAATTTCTGTTTTGGGAAGCTGGATTCCTGTGCTAGTATAGCACCCAGCTTGGCACATTGCTACATATCCTCAGCTAACCTCGGTTTTCAGGCACAAAATAGCTCTGATACAGCACCTGGCAATAGATTAGCTCTGATGGCTGTGCAATTGGCCATGGGAAGCCAGCTTGCAGAGTCAGATGTGATTTACTGTTACTTTATGAATATAGCAGGTTTCTCAGGGCAGCCCTGAGGTCAGTGACAGGCACCTGCTTACTTACAGAGCTAGAGGATGACAAGAGAGTAACTAATAAGCAGCCTCAAAGCAAAGGAGATAGAATGACTGAGGGCTGGATACCCAAGCTGGAGCTACAGTGGTGTGGGGAGGAGATAGAGGGCGGCCTCAGAATGAAAATGGATGCCAGAGTATTTTTCTTGTCAGGAAGGAGAGTACTTAGAGTGGGTCTTGAGGAGTCTGGCGTTCTTGTCATGGAAATAGGCTCTCAAACACAGCCATAATGTCTGCAGTCTCTGGGAGGAAACAGTTCACCTTCAAGTGGCCTGAGTGCTTTTGGAACTCTTGGAGCTTGCGTTGTCTGCTGATCCTACATGGCATACAGCTCAGTGCCTTATTTCGGCTTTCTGAGTCAACTGTGAGAGGATCTGATGACTACGGACAGGACTATCACTAGAAGTTAGACAGTCCTGATGTCATTTCTCATTGATTTACCCAAGGTCATGCAAAAAAATTACAGCAAAGCCAGATATTACATCCAGAACTCCATATTCTTCTCTATTACCTTAACTGTAGCTCCATCCTCCTGTCTCTCAGAAGCACTGAGAAAGATTTTTCTGTTAACTGGAGGTGATGAGAATTTTTGTAATCAAAAAGTAGTTTTACAAAACATACTTTGAGCACAAAGTATAATAATCCCATGAATTTGGCGTGAGATACTTTGGCATTCTTGGGGAATCTTTAAATGTAAAGCAGAACAGCAGGATGTTAAGAAAAGAAAAATGCGCCTATTTCAAATCAGTTGAATGTAAAACGTTTGTTATGAAAATGAATTTTCTTTATTGTTCCACCAGCTTTTCATCTGCTCAAGTTGTGGAAAGAATATGCTAACAAGCCCTTCTGCTAAATGTGGGAGGCCAGAATTCCTACCTCTTACTGAGCCCTGTGTAATACTCCAGTGTAAAATCAAAAGGCTCCATCAGTAGCTGTGACCGCATGCTGGTTTATCTGACTGATGAAGAAGCACATGTACCATTTTGCAGGCATAATCTGGAAGACTGGATGAGTCTGCCCTAAACGAGAGATGGAAATAGTGCTTGGAAATAATTACACCGGTAGATTGGGGGTGACCCAGGAAGAAGCTGGGTGATCCAGTAATGACAGAAAATTGAATGTTCCAGTGGCCTTACTGGGAGCAATGTGATAAGCTTAATGGAAAATTACTCTGCTTTAATGTAATTTTCACTGATGGAGGCTGAATAATGATACTCCTTGTATCATTAATTAATCCTAACACCTGCCCCCAATCGATGGTAACAACTTTTGGTAGCTGCTGGACTAGGAGAAACTTGTACATAAAACCTCGAGGCTTATTTACATACAGACGTATGTAAATGTCAGTGTGCATGTATGCTTTTACATATGTATATGTTAGAGCAGTAATTATAGAGAAACTTTTTTGTCATGGTAAACAGTTTAAAATCAGTGAAAAGCTTAAGTCAAGCTTTATATTTCATGCCACTTTGTAGTATAGTATAGGCAGAGCTGAACAGTATTCATTGAGATTTATAAGTGTATAGTAATATCGTTCTATATAGCACTAAATAACTGGAGCTCACACAACAGACTGCTTCTCAGATGAGATGCAGTGTTCCGAAGGAAGTACACTTTACATCTGTAATAGCTTTCCTTGAACTCTCTCATCTTGTGGGGTTTTCGTACGTTGCTTGAGAATTAAAATTCTTCTCTGTAAACTTAATAAAGTATAAAATTAATGATGAAGCAAGTTCTTTCATGGTATTTCCTCAGTGACCTATGGCTGAGAGTTAGTCTGTCTACTGGCTAAAGTCAGTGATTTCAGTGGAATATCCATGCCTAAAATAGAGTATTGACTCCATGTTCACTTAGGTTTTTTTTTGCCATGCCTTATGATGCCAAATTCTGACTGTACGTGATCTGTCCGCTTGCTTCACTCCTAAGTGGTATGCAGTGGCTAGCTTCCTTAATACTGCATTTGTTCTGAGGGAATGTGCATTGTGTGTTCTTGGGTCAAAGCCCAGAGATTAATGCCTTTTGCAAAATTGGCAATTTGTTAAAGTGAACTATTTACATTATTAACAAAGCTGTCTCTCCAGTGTTGATTATTTTGCCAAATAATTTTCTGGAATCTTGTGGCAGACATCATCTTTAAGTTCAGTCAGTTTGCGAGGACTCTTTCTCTTCTGACTCATTGTCTGGTATGGAATGCAGGCGCTGGATATGGTCTTCACCTGTCTGGAGGTCTGTCTTTTTGTAGATAGCATTTTGAATTTTCCTTGCCAAGCTGTGTTTCTATCACTACCCACTGACTTGAGGGCATACGATGGCTCGCTATAAGCCTTAGGTTTTATAAAGTGCCAACAGTGGATTTGCAGATCAGTTCAAGAATAACTTTCCTATGCGTATGTTCTTATCTTTCAAATTCTTGCTTAGCCTTACTTAAGCCTTAAGCCTTGCTTACCTTCAGTCTTGTATGAAGTCAACCAGGAAAAGTTCATTTGTTCAAAAGTTCACTATTTTATTTTCTTAAATTAAATCTGTATGTACAGAAGGTAGCTTCTCTAGGTATCTGTTGATAACTGCGTTGCACACATCACTGATTTTCTGCCTGCTCCAATTGCCCATGCTTCTCCCACTGCATGCATACCACTCACTTGCTTAACCTCTTCTATTTCCAGTGCTCCTGAATGCAGCACCTTCTCTTGCTGGACATTGCCATCTCTGACCAGGAGGAACTCAGGTTTATCATACTGTCTGTTCCCTTTCCCTTGTCAAATATTGGTGCTCTGAGTACTTTTTTCAAGAGCCTGTTTTCCTCATACCATAATCTCTATTATTCATTCCATGCTAGGGTTGCTATGCATCCCATGGTTTTTTTTTTTTTTCATTTATAGGGGGAAGCTCTTTGATCCATTGGCAGTTACAACAGTAGAGGAAACCTCTAGACTGTGAACTAGATATAGAGCGTTCAATGAGCCCCATTTTTCTCACCTGTCTGATTCTCCATGTAAAATTAGCAGATTTATGCTCATAAGCATCTAGAATATTGTCTTTGTCAGACTCAGTGCTCAAGCTATTATACTTGAGGCAAAAGGAGGGATGTGTCTGCATATACTTTTCCTCTAGCTGTGAAATTTGTTCAGGGATTTCTTATCTCTGGTTGCTTGTTTCTTCTCCTTCACTTTCTGTTTAACTATCTGTGAGACTATGTTACAAAAACAGATTAGAAAAATGTCTCAATTTAATATACTATAAAGAAAGTGTACCAAGTGACTATACTTTGTGTGGAAATCTTTGTCTTGTGCAATCCCACCCTGCTTCTTGTCCTCAGATGATACAATTTATTGACAGGATTGTTAGGCACATACCTGAAGCAGAAACCAGTCCTGCTGGTTGAGTGTTATTGTACTGCACAAAAACACCCTTATTCAACATGGAGAGTATTATTTCTTAACTAGGATTACATGGTTCCACATAAACTATGCTTGCAGGTGCATCCTATACTTTGTGTTCATCAAACTCACTCGCTAATGTATCTGCAGTTACCTACCATAGCAGACAGTGAGTAGGTGACAGATCTGTGCAGAGCTGCAATGATTACATGCTATTTCAGGGACTCACAGCTCCTGTCCTGCCTACCCATGAGCTCACCCAGCTGTGGCACAGTATGCTGTACTTCTGCAGAGTCCTGGCCTACTGCCTAACTGGCAAACCTATTCCAGTTGCTACCCCAGAATGTGGCAGACTGACAAACA